TTTTCGCAACTACAGGCTGTTTCATCATAATTATAGCTTCCTCTGGAACCTGCTGTGCAGGCTTGACCGGTGAAGGTGTCTTGAAACACGCATCGAGCTCATCGGCCGCCACAGTTTCCGGGTCGATGTCGCTCTCACCTTGACTAGCCCTCGGTGGACCATTCTCGAAAACATCATCATCCAGGTACAAGTCGACATCATCTATGCGTGAAGCTGCTTTCCTCTTGTTGTTGGCAGCCTTGAACGCAGCGAAGTCATCTTCATCGTCCGAATCATCCATAAGAAATCCCCCTATCATCTTTGCAGGCTGATGGGAATCAACATCTTTTAGTGGGCTTCTAGAGATCTCGATCTTTCTCCTCTTTCTAGGTGATGGTAGTTTTGGCGATGAACTAGGCGGGTACGCAACGGGCGAGGATATCATTGGCATAGTGAGGCTGGGAGGAGACGATGGAGGGATATCCTGATCTAGGATGGAGCTCGTATATATTCCTACACTTAAAAAGGGTTTATGATTTCTCAAAGGTGTATCTATTCATAGTGAGCTCTTCGCGTTCTTGGGTGCCCTCAGCGTGTATTATATACTAATTGGATGATCCTCCTCACTACGAAAGACTTCAGGAGTGTTCCAAGCCCGGTGCTGGATAACAATTCCCTTCCTATTTTTTTCTGCCCTAGTCTCATCAATTTGCAGCCGCAATGCTTCGATTTCGTCAGAATGCGAGATTGATGGTTCCGGCGCGTCGTACGCGATGTCGCGTTCGGAATGGAGATATACCGCAGGGTCAAACGAGGACGGAAGTTGAGGGGATGAATCATACATGAGTCCGAATTACGGCTGAGTCAGATAACGTCATGAATGGCGTCGTATGCTTAACACGGTGTTTGAGGTGCTATCTTGAGCTCTCAAGAGACGCGTCGACGTCCAAGTCGCGTAAAGAGGCCTGGCTTGGCGAACCAACAATCCCTGCCCGTGGGACGCCAGGCAGATAAGTGCTCTGAGGAAGACTCAGAATTCCCAACCTATCGACCAGATGAAAACTGTGGGATCGATAGAGATGACACTGTTGTTAAAATCTGTTCTCATTGCTAAGTCCGCCTTCTCATCATAAGTCAAATAAGTCAAATTAATTTTCCACCACATAAGAAAAGCATACAATAAAGGGGATCCATCAATTACATTCCACTAATATACAATAATGTGGCTCGAACGCTGTAAAACCCAAAACCTCTCTCCAAAACCTTTCTAATTTCAAGTCTTCAGAATTGTATTCGGCGCTGGCAGCGTCCCATTAACCAGATATGAATCAATTGCCGCAGCAGTCTCTCCCTTTAAAATATAGGAAGTATGGCCACCCCCATCTCTTGTCAGAAGCACAACACCATCGATTTGCTCTAGTATATTGTTTGCCCAAACATAAGTCAAGGGATCGTATTTTACGTTGATAATTAGGATAGGTGGCGCGCCATACACATTCACGCTGTGTGGTGGGTTTCGTACTGGCGCCGGCCAACCAATAGAGCTCGTCTGGATCGTCCAGGTCTGACAAGCCCCTTGCGTGTGCGGGGTAAAAGTGCTGCGGAGTTGCTCCTTGTAGACAACATCAGACAAAGCCTTGCTTGCGTGAGTCCAGTCCAAACATTCAACTGCAAGGCCGCCAAATAGAGCGTCATTAGTGCTTTGGGCCAGGGGTGTTGAGAGTCCCGAAGCATCACCATCAATAGCTCCGGCGATGGCGATCGAGAGGTTGCTCCATAATGAGAGTTGAGGAGCACCTGGAATCGGGTCCTTGAACGTCAAAAAACCCTGCATATTGAAGCGTATCTCCTCCCCATTCACATCCGCGCGACATTGTTTCGAAGCGGCACACTCAGAAGCTGGGATAGGAGTCTCATCAGCCTTTTTAACAAGGTCGTCGACAAGCTTCCCGACGTCCTTTCCCTGAAGTGCACAATCTGCCGTCTGATTGCACAATCGAAGAAATGGTTTAAGACAGTTTCGTAGGTTGGCGACTCAGTAGTCAAAGAGTACGTTTCTGCTCCCGAATGATCAAGATTTCCATCCAACGCCATTGCCCAAATGTTCTCAAGAAATAGCTCAGCGTACACAGCACCCAGCTGAGTACCGTAGGAAAAGTCGAGAAAATTAAGTTTATCTTCACCTAGCGCTAGACCCAGAGCCTCGATATCTCTAGCAGCACTAGTAGTGTCAACATGACTAAAAAGAGGGCCTGTAAGATTCGAGCAACTTTCGCCGACGGCCTTGTTGTGAGCGACCATCTTCTAGAAAGACGCCTCGTCCTTTGGGAACAGGGACACGCTCATTCCAAATTTCAGGGCCGCAATTAATCGGGTTGCTGCTGCCAATACCCCGTGGATCAAGCCCGATGATGTCGAAATGGTTTCTCAATTCCGGCGACCAGCCTCCTAATGCTGCATACTCGTCGTTAGAGGTTGTCACTACTCCCCCTGGGCCGCCAGGATTGAAAACCAAGCTGCCAATTCGTGTCTGAGGGTCTGCGGCTGGGACTTTATTCATTCCTAGAGTGATTTGGGGCCCATGTGGCTGAGTTTAATCAATTGGGACCGCGAGCTAAGCGCATTGTAGCCTAAGATAGAGGCTGTCTGAACAATTCTGCCAAGTAATCGTTGACGAAACCGAGTGAGTGCGAGAATTCCATGCTGGATGATTTGGGGCTGCTAGAATACTAGTGCAAAACAACGAGATACAAGAAAGATAGGATGGTAAAATCTTGATTTCAGCCATGATTCTAAGGCGGTATAAATCTCACGTAAATGCTACGAGGGTTAGTAGGGAGGAAATAACAACCCTAAAATATGAACGTAGAAAGCTGAAGATGAGCATTACTGTTGCTAGTTTAGGCCTAGGGGCGCATTTTAGTCCTGAAGGAATGGTATCCTAGGGCTAAGAATTGCGGATACGTCAGACATGGGTGTTGGTGGCTGAACATCGGGCTCGGTCAGCACCATAAACGTTGCCAGCCGTTAGACAACATTGATTTTAGAATCCTGTAATTGGACAAACACCAATCTCGCATAATTCCCATTTCAGGTTTAGTGTATTTACGAAGGTGCAACTACAACATTATGAGTCGACTGCGCTCGGTTTGAGTTGTGCCCATTGCTTCAGTAGATATTTGAGAATGGTGCGATCCACCCGAATAGTGCCGGGTTCACGGCTGATGCTCACGAACCACTTGTCCGTAGTTTGAGAACCGAATAATTCCATAAGATTTCGCGTGATAAACGTTGGAGACTATGGAACTAGAGAACGGAATATTGCAAAGGCTCTTCTAGGACATATTATATTGCTCAAATGAAATCTGATATTGGGTCTTGCCACCAGCAAGCTTCATGCTGATGATCGTTACAGGTCTCGTGGACAACCTCCACGACGTCTGCGGCAAAGAGCCAAATGATATCCACTAGTATCCACGTAAGAAAACAAAAGTCATGCAATGCTTTAACCCCTTTCCACTACGGCTCGTTTCTGTACACTCGTGGAATCGAAGCCCAATTTCTCCGCAAGCTCCTTACGAAACACATACAGGAATGCCAAAAGTATGCACGTCCGCCAGCCGGAGATAATCCATTCGCCGCTACCTGTGATGGGCCATGCGACTGACCCAACGGAGGTGTACAGCATTATGTTTTTCACTGTCAACGATTGCTGCGATAATGAGGTAGGTCATGAGGGAGAGTATAGCCACTGAAGCGAGCTATAACTTGTAAGACGAAAAGTATCCAGTGTCGGAGGCCCTATATGCCGAGTTGACATTTCAGCTAGGCCTTATGAAGAGGATATTTATGCTGATAACATTGCATACACTTGAAGCAATGCCCATCGCTCCAGTCCCATGGTCGAATCCTAAGCACCCGCTACCGGTATGAGCTAACCGTCTCGCAGACATGACAATAGTGCCTACAGCTTGCGTGAGCGCGAATAATGCTGCCAGCACTTTGCCAAACTATGCCTAATCAATTTTATGGCGCGTCCGTTCAACTGAATGACTCCCCAGCAACAACAACGGTAGATTGTGTGAGCGGACCTTCGCATCTCCCGACCTTGAAAGTGTTACATACATACTCAATGTTCTAAATACGTAATACCGCATGTGACTTTCTTCGTCGTCTTCATAATTCCTCACGAATTGGACTAGCTCGCGAATGACGCCGATGATGAGTTCGACCAGCGAACAGTGGGCACGAATGCAAAAAACAGAAGCCGGACAGCCTGGATATTGTCCCATGTTGACCGACGAAGGCTGCATACATAGATGTAGCTCGCAAGCGCAAACGCGTGAGTGGTTATTGTCTTGATAACCAGTCCGAGAGGCGTTCGAAGATTCCAGCTATCGTCTAAACTCATGGTGGAAATGTCCAATGCGAGGCAAGTAACCGCAAGAGGACGGGTGGGTGCATAAAACCACGGCGAGTAGCAGTGCCTTCACAGAAGGTGGCGGAGTACATAGCTGTATATCTCAGTCCGTAAGCCTAAAAGGAGGTGGTCGGAACATCATAGGTCCGAGCGCAGCCAACTAGTTATGCCTGCTGTGCGCCTGCTAACAGGAGGATCGGTAGGCTGTAAAGCATGGCTGAGCTAGGGGATGATATATGTGGCAGCATTGTTGAATATATAAAAAGCGTATATCTCCTCGAATATACATATGGGCTACACGAAGCTACCAAATACCACGGTGAACCTGTTCACATTTCCCTTTTTCCTACAAAAGAATTCAGACAACATATATCCATGCCTTATAGCGGCTTAAGTCTGTAGCCGTGCTAACATTTTGATTCCCACAAAGGGAGGCATGGGATACATAGCATAATGTATGTAGCACGGTAAAAGTTCGGGTAAAGTAAGCAAGCTAAAAAATTCACTCAGATGCCTTGGCACATTCATTAATCTCTGGGAATATAAGTGAGATTACTTTTCATTGAAGCCAAATTGTTGTATATCTGCGATTTACTTCTCCGGCTGGTTGGCGCAATGGTAGCGCGTGCCCCTCCTATCAGGAAACGTTCAAGGGCAAGGCTGTGGGTTCGAGTCCCATGCTAGTCGTCTTTTTTGCCCCAAGGCCTTCTTTTTGTGCATTGGACACTCTCATCGAGGGGTCTACGAGATGTTGCGTTTTGGGTTGAAGGGCAGAGTTTGAAGCAAGAGACGCTTAGCCACTCACTCAAGGTTTGTTTTGCTTGAGAGAATGAATGTTAGGCCATACGAAAGCTAGTCCGAACTCCTATTAGCAGCCTACATACCAACGCGGAATCAGTTAATGGCTCTCTGACGCATGCCTCCCTCTTATCCGCTATCCGTTGGATACTACCGCCAACTAATACCTACCTTATCTCGAGCTCAATTTTGTACGTTCATTAGAGCAGTGTGAATTTCCAAGCATGGCCTTACCCAGACTAAAAGCCACGCAGGGATGATGCCTTATTTTATATCACAAGTTGAAATTTTCAGGAAGTGTTAGAAATTTTCTTTGGCTTACTATTTCAAGAGGAAGAAGACTAACTTGGCCGCTGATAAATGATGATCGAGTCTGTCCATACTCCCAAAAGGTTAGAGGAAAACACTGCGTGGAAAGATTTTGAAATTACAAATCTCCTTGCTCCGACAAGGCACTAATTTTTTCTCTTCAGAACGGTCATCTTTTCTGAGCTTAGAAAAACCTGCGCCTCAATTCTACTGCTAAGCCTAAGATACATGGCAAGGGTCGCACAAAAAGCACTAATAAACCATGTTATTTATCCAAGTGCTAGAATGATACATACCGAACTAAAGTGGACCTTGCTCCTAGTAATATGGAAACCCATCTAGCCCTTTTGTTTCGTGGCGTCATAGAATTTTTTTCTTTTGAATAAAGAAAGAAAGAAAAGGGGAGCATCGTTACCGTAAAGCCAGTCAGACAACTCGTGCTACGAAATCAGAATTTCCTAACAGGAACTCCCATGTACTAAAGTCAAAGATCTACTCTTCGCTTCCGCTTCTTCCCCCGGCCGTCTTCATGCTTCGACTGCCTGTGGGTGTGGGTTGTGTGTCCGCAGTGTACCGTGTAAGCTCGATATCTTGACGCACTGTAATTACACCAGGCTCCTTTGACATGTCGTCTGGTAGAGGCTGGAATGGGAATGGTTTTCGATGGCTTTTTGAGTGGTTAGATGATGAATTTGTTTGACCTTCCGTGGAGCCGAAAACCCATGGGAACAAGCGCGCAAGGATTGGCTTTACGCCTGGGAGCGAACCACAGACGATGCCCAGATTTGTTTCGATTGCGGTGGTCACGTAAGTGACAGCGCCTTCCCCTGAATTAAGCGAGGAGGTTAGTAGAGGGAATTGAGCAGGAGTTGGTCCTTTGTAAAGCAGACTTACACGTGCTGTCGGATGAGCTAAAGTAAATCCTCAAATACCAAATTCTACACGCACCAGCGATACAAGCACTATAATGCCGTTAGATCTGTATCCCTTGAGATAGTGGGTTTTAATTACTTACAGACAGCCAATGCCAAAAGATATCACAAGCCCTGCGCGTTGTTTTTGTGGTAACTGAATATTCCATAGGTACCGTGCCGGCCACAGGAAGACAAGTATGTCCGAAAAATTATTAAGTACTGCAGTAATTATAAAAAATACTCTTTGGTTGCTACATGGCTTATCTATAATTAAGATATCCCAGTTTGCGGAGATAGGCCTACGGCAATTAGCTAGTATACATTTATGGCACTGAAGTAACTCACCAACATTGAAATATAAACACGAAAAAGGTTCCGATAGTCCAAGCGACCAGCCAGATGACAGCGCAATGGCAAAACCATCGATTTATCTTTGATGGGAAAAGGCGCAAGTATGTAAGGCACATAGATATTTTTGTGATTCCAACGCAAGGCATGAAAAGCAATTGGGTTGTAAGAGCTAGCTATTTCAACCAAATGTCAGCACAGTTCACTATTCTCTGAAGATGTCGTATAGGCTACCTTTCCAGATATAGGAATCCAAGCAAGTTTACAATCCCATATATGGTAGCCTGTGCTGTATTTAGTCAATATACAATTTACCACCAATATTCCAGTTCCAATCGCCTAGTAGACTCAGTGATGGCAATAATCAGTTAGTTAGTTATGATTATGTTATGTTATATAGGAACATAACTAATCTAATTATAATTGCACCAGGTGATTATA